CTTGTGCTCCCTCGAAGTCTATCTTCCTTGTGTGGACAATGGTGCCGAACAAATGTCTCTCAAGACTCAACCTGGATAGAGGGGGTATTCAGCTCCCTTCTCTGGTGTGTGGTTTGTGTGGTTTATTGCTTGAGTCCACAGACCATCTATGTATGCATTGTCCTATCTCTTCGAGAGTCTGGTACCATTTTATAGGAGTTGTTGGTCTTTGTTGGGTCATGCCAAATTCAGTAAAAGATTTGCTGCTTTGCTGGAAATCTCAAGGTCTGAAGAAAAAAGGGAAATTAATTTGGAGAACCATTCCTGCGGCTGTGATGTGGGTAATTTGGTCAGAGAGGAACAGAAGAGTCTTCAGCAACAAATCAAAGAGCACTGAGGAGATTGTGCAGCAGGCGGTCAGCAAGCTGATTTCTTGGGTGTCTGTAGCCCCTGATTTTAAAAATTTGAATGCTCCTGAGTTGTTTAGATCTGAATCCATTTGGGATCTGTAATATGTCCTGTGTTCTGAGTAGCCACTTGTGGTTAGCTCTCCTGTTGTAATGAGTCCTTTCTGAATTAATAAATTTCTTATTTTACCTTTCAAAAAAAATACTAAATTTAAGATCAAAATAACCATAGATAGTGTATAAATACATAGGAAATGTATATTTTAAAGGCATATATGAAGAAATATATTACAATTAATATACCAGGATGCATAGATATGATATAATTTTATTTATAATGCATCAATCAAGAGTCCAAGATACTAAACATATGCACCTATTATATTTTAATTATTATATCAATTATTTCTTATTTTACTATTTTAATTTTTTAACATTAAAAAAAATCAACAAAAAATTCTCAAATGTAAATTAAAATATCAATTAATAATTTATAAAAGTATAATCTTAGCTTAAAGTATATCAAATTTGTTAAAATTTCTAAAATACAAATCATATACAAATTCATAATTTTTAATTACTAAAATAATTATTCCATTATTTATATTTTTGTTTCTATAAATGTTTTGAAATAAAAGAAAAAATCATTTTTTCAAATAAATGTAGATTAGTGGATTTGATAGATTCAATTTAATATTATATTCTTGAATATTTTGTAAACAATATTTTTATTTTTTGTAAATAATAAATATGTTGTTACTACTTATTAATGTAAACTAAAATTAAATTAATAATTTGTAAAATATATAAAAATTTTAAGATGCATATCATGTGCAAATTTATAAATTTTAAGTATTAAAATATTTATTCTATTATTAATATTTATTTATATAAATTTCTTGATACTAAAAATTATCTTCTTATATAAACGTGGATTTGATAGATTATTTACTCTATTAGTTTATAAAATACTACGTTTGAATATTATTCTTTTGAATTTTTAGTTAGAGTTGTTAAACATAAACATGTGTTTTTGTTTAAATTGCATGTGGATACAAAAGTTAATAAAATTTATTTTATTTCATTTATTATCACAAGTATTGTGTCTCAGTGGTTTAGAGTCGCATTTAAGGTTTAAGTGCTAGGTGAGCATTAGGTGACCTAAGTTTTAATCACCATATGCATCTTTTTGTAGAGAGACGCAGCATATCAGTGTGTATTGGCCAATAATACAGGTCGATACGCATCCTTATCAATTCAATACGTACAGCTCATGGGACCGATACCAATACAATACACTTTGTATCGAACGAATGCGAGGGAGAAAAATAAGCATGCTAACAATCAAATGAAAAATCAAATCACCCAATGGTGCAAGCTAAGTGATTTGATTTCGATGAGCTCATGTGATTACAACACTTTCTTGTGACCCTCCAATAAGTCATGAATATGCTAATAATCAAATTTAAAACCAAATCACCTTTGTGAGCGCATGCCTAGGTGATTTGGTTCCGATTAGTCACATGGTCACAACACTTTTTTGCAACCCTCTAATAAAACATAGACATTCTATTGATCAAATGAAAGATAAAATTACCCAATGATGAAAGATAAAATTACCCAATGAGTGCATCTTGTTTTTGCTACCCCAAGTGATACATGAACTACCTGCTACTATATGATAAAATGGAGACTACCTCTAGGATCCACTACCTTACTAGGAATATCAAGAAATACAAAGGTAGCCTAACATGTGGAGCGATGAGTTCACATAGTCATAATACTTTCTTGTGGCCTCTAAAACAACCTAGACATGTTGTAAGTCAAATTGTCAAAGGATAAACTAAATCATCCAATGAGTGTATGTCTGGGTGATTTGGTTTTCATGAGTTCACATAGTCAAAACAATTTCTTATAACCATCCAATAAAGCACAAGCATGCTGCTATCAATCAAATAAAAAACCAAATAGCCCAACAAAGGTGTGTCAGCTATTGCTACACCAAATGATACAAGGACAACCAGTATCATATAAAAGAGACTACCTCTAGGACCAAAATTAAGATTTTAGTCTTGGAGCTTTCAAAAAATAATTTAAATAAAGCTTTTGACCACTGTGTAGAGTGACACTTAGATGATAAGGCACTCAGGGAGGATCACCTCACTAAATCACCAAGATAATTTTTACATGGTGCTATAGGATACTTTATATCCTTAACCTTCTGAGATTATAATAATAAAACAGACATTATTAAACTAAATTATTCAGTTTGAGTTAATTCTTTTTATTATCTTTCTTATTTATTAGGGTTCAATCAAGATGTATAGTCTTGAATCCTTGAAGATTTCAAAATTTGAACTAATAACCATGGAAGAACTAAAAAATAGAGGTTCGACCTCTCTATATTCTGAAATTTCTTTTTCTTTCTTCCATTTTTTCATGAATATGTTGATTTTCTATGTTTTAAATGAAACTTATACATTTTTTATGAAGACTATAGACAATTGCTAGTGAAAGATGTTTGTTGCTTGCTAAGGAACCTAGGGAATTATCTTGTTCATGGTTTTTATTCAAAAAAATCCCATTACCTAGGCAATGCCTATGTGCCCACCTAGGCAACTTGGCAACAAGGTGCCCCCCTATCGCCTAGCCTCACCTTGGCACCTTGAAAACTACGCTATACGCATATTGGTAATAACATAATGGGCTTGAATTGGGTCAGGTTGCCTGATGCATCAACCCTATTTGAACCTAATTTTAAGTCATTATAACAGTTCTTAACCTAGCATCTAACTCAACCAAATCCAAAGCAACTTTTTAATGTTTTTCATAGAAATTTGGATTGAAGCCAACCAATTTTGCACCCTACCTTGGTCATGGTTCATAATTTCAATATGATGAACATTTCACCATGTAGAGTTGGACAAATTTTGGAGATATTTTGTTAATTTCGATAAGATATTTGGAAAATCTAAAAAAATTAAGAATGTTTTCTAGAAACATTAAATTAGTTAATAAACCTTCAAGAAATTATTAAAATAAATATAATTGCACGTTTAAGGAACAAAAAACCATAACAAAGAACTGTATAAAAAGGAAAAAAATTAAATGATTGTAATAGGTATGTTTCTCTTTGTCTCCCTTTTGGTCTTTAGCCATCTTTTCCTCTTTATATATGTCAATTGCTTGCCATTTTAACTTTTGTCTTTATTGTTACTCAACATTGAGAATACTCTTTAGTAGTTATAGGCATTTTCCTTATTCTTTTGAACTATAGTGTTTTAGTAAGTGAATCATATCAAAGTAGTAAGCCAGTTATCCAACCAGTGATTTCCTGCTGGTTCTTTTAGGAAAATATTTTATGTCTGAATTATCGTCGACATATCGGCAAAATATCAGGAATATTTGGAAAATTTTCCTAGAAGAATTTGTATCGCCATCTAGAAAATGGGGATATATCAAGGATATTTCACCAAACATCATCAATCTGGCGAACCAGAACCTTGGTCCTGAATTCAAGGAAGCCTCATCAACTATAACAGATGATATGCAGAAAAAGCACTTTAATATAATCCTTTTTCATTCAGGTTTAACTAAACTTGACCACTGTTTTTCAGGTTGCCTGACCAGGTTGGGGCTGAGACTGAGCCAAGTTGCATCCTACCTTAGTTCTGACTTGAAGGAATCCTGTCAACTATGATATTTAGAAAAAACAAAATGCAGTATTGTTTGGATAAATGAAGAATAGAAAGCAGCCACTCATGGTCAAGTAGGATTATAGAACTATGTATCAACAAATATTACAAGTGCCCCCCTCAATCATTGCTCAATTGTATCTAAAGCCAAAACAGCAAACCATGAGCTATATTATAGCTTGCGAATTCCCTAGTTCAGTCCACTCCCAAGCATAAGGAGACAAGCCATACTCGTGATTTCTTCATTGTTTCCTAGTTCCTACCCATGACCTGTATCATCCTTTAGATGTGACCATCTTAATGCAAAAACTGGTATTCTGAAAATTTAGAAATTTAAGAGCAGATATATTTCATGTTACATACTTTTCTATAAAAGTTACAAATAAATTGACAAGATAGGTTGCACTAAGTAGGCCAATGATGAAAGTTAACTAGAGAACACCTATTTTTGCCACATGGAGGACTACTATGGCCAATCTGAACCATCCATCAGATGGGGGATCGTCTTGACTGGCCGCATGTTTATTTCCCATATCCACATTATCTTTATACCACACTTCACATTGGAGCTTTAGCCCACTAGTGCAAACCATCTAAGGTTATAGACTTATAATTTGTAATTATGACAACAAAATAACATTTTAAATTGGTACAACAATGAAAAAATCTAATATAAATATAAAACGTAATGTTACATTTACATAATCATTAGTCATAATTTAAATACAAATCTAAATGGTATTTCTAACATGACTCCTTAAGTAAACTCCATCACTCTAATTGACTCCATCTCAACCTTACTGAGCCAAGTCATAAGCCCAGGTCAGCAAACTTTGATTTATATACCCAATAAACGAGAAGTATAAACAGTAAATCAAACAATAACAGTTTTTCTAGATAAAAAAATTAATTAACTTACCAGGATAATACCAATTATATTAGTTGAATTTCCAGCATAAACAGGAACTCTACTATGACCCTTTGTCATTATTGCATTTAGTGTCTCCCTGAGATGAAAGGGAAATAAAAAAAAGGTTAAAACCCAAGGAAGAAACAACTAAAATAGTTCAAAAGAAAATGAAACCAGAGAATAAACCTACAAGTCAAGAATGCCATCCAGATCAAGAGAAAATGCTTTAGATATGGGGGTCATAGCATCTTTTGCAGTCTTTTCTGTCAACTCAAGGGCACCAGCAATGATAGTAGTCTCATCATGTGTCAAGTCACCACCTTTTCCAGCCTATTCAACAAAACATAGATATGATTAATTTCCCACTGTCACAAAGAAGAGAATAAGCATACTGCAAAAGCAAGACTAAATTGTTCTGGTAATGACTTAATAATATTCAAAGCATGGTGTGAGTTTTAAAAGCAACAACCAAAAGTCAAAATCAACAGAGTAATAAAACACTAAAATGGAAATGCAAAGATAATACCTCATTTCCATGAAAATTCACAAATGTTTTAAGTTCTGCTCTTCGTAGAAGGACAGCGTGTCCCTTGCCCAACATCCAATCTAGCACCTGCACAAGCAAGGAAAATTATATATAAAAATAGTACATGAAGTAAAAGCCTGCTTTCTTGTTCTCCTTTTTCTTCTTTGATCCTTTTCCATTTTTTAAAACAAGCTCAGCAAAATTTTTTCATCCATATAATTGATCCTACTTACACAGATGACCAACAAAATTCTCATGTAACACAATTCCATACCTACATTCACATGCAAAGAAATGAAAATATGTGGATCATACCTTACTGATTGGATAAGCAACAGGGAAGAACAGAAAAAGCAGAACACGAACAAGGGGTGCCATTGTTGCTCCCACTGTCATGCCATATCGAGAACAGACAGCCTGTGGCAATATCTGTAATTTACAGATGAACAAAAGAAATCAGCCAACAATATGCAATTAGGCACCTTTAGAAACATAGTGAAGTTTGATTAGAAGGAACCTCTCCAAACATGAGGATCAAGGTGACTGAAATCAGTATTGCTGCCCAAGGAGCTACAAGCTTGTCCAAGAAAATTGGAAGAGACTGAGAGAGAGAGAGAGAGAGAGAGAATGGAGTTGATTGTTAGGATAAACAATTAGATACTACAACCACTTAGAATCAATTTATCAAAAACCCACAGACCTCCATCGCTAAAGAGTTCCCAATCAACAGTGTACACAGTAATAGATGTTGATTCTTTACCACTGGAAATATTTTTGCTGCCAAAAGAAGATCATTTGGATTATTTACCACTGGAAATGTCTTTCCAATCAATGGTGTAAATAGAAATTTTTTGCAGACCAAGTAAAATATAATTTCAAAAAATATTTTGTAATTTTAGATCTATAACAAACCTCAACTAGCTCAATAGCAGGATGTGTATTCCAAACTATAACCCGAAAATGTAACGATTTCAGCTCAACTCTTAACAGCTAAGCGGGTCGACTCAACCATCCAACTCGGAAAACGGGTCATAGGCTAAGTAAAACAGATTAAAAAATGAAAAAGGAAAAAAAGAAAAAAAGATGTTGGACGAAAACTAGCCCAAAAGATGTTGACTTCCCCACTGTGCTAACATCTAAATCCCTTCTATTCTCTGTGAGGTTTGTTCCCGTTGTCAATGGTTGATGGTTATCCAGGTTTTTCTGTGTTCTTAGATTACCCATCGAGACCCTTCGGATATCAGGCTGCGCCAGCTATACAGACCAAAGTTTCGTTTGCAGACCCTTTGGCGAATGACAACCCAGTAATTAAGAGCTCGTATTAAAGATGGGTGAATCAATCTGGGGAAACAAGGGAAGGAGATTCAGAGAAAAGGCAGGTGCCAACAAAAAGCTGGCTATTCACCGGGTTGACTCGGGAGCAACAGTATTTAACGTTATGACCGTCCGGGAGACAACTACAGAAACGTTCTTCAATTGCAGATACTCTAAGAGTACAAGTAAAAGAAAATTCAGCCTGAGTAAATAGAATTATGAAACTTCTGCCAAACATAATTTTACGCGTTTAAAGTAGAATGAGACAGCACAAAGGTATCGGTTCCGGTTTTCGTTTCATCAAAATTCAGAGAGAGAGAGAGAGTACCGGCGTGGATGCGGTCTTGAGGGCGGCCGGATTTGATGAGGACTTCAAGGTCGACAAGGCCGAGAGACATGAGACCGAGGGTAAGACCTGCCATCAGACCGGCGAAGCAAACCAATCCTACGATCACAAGCACGTATACTGAGAACTTCGTCCCGCAACATGGTACATCCGCTGCCATTGTTACCTCTTCCTTTCCCTCTCGTTCGATTTCTCTTCTAGTTTTCTTCTCCACTGCAAATTTACAATCCGTCTTTCTCTTTCTTCAATTTGATATTTATAATTTTTCGATGATCAGATTCTTATTCTGGGAGAAAATCAAAGGGGCCCCAATAACGGTGTAATTTCACTCTATCCGATCCGACCTACGCAGAACCATAAATCAAACGTGATGAAGCTCGCTCGCGCTCGTCAGTTAAGTTTATGCAGACAATCGATTAGGTGGAAATTATAAAGTGAAGTCGAGTCCTGCTCCTGCTCCTGCTCCGGAACCACTCATTTCTACTGGGGAAGTTCCGTGTCTGAGAATGTTGTAGTTATGCCGATGCTCATTCTTAGGTCCCCACTGCAACTGGAACAGCCAAACCAAATGCATCAAAACCTTTCTGGCTAAATTACTTTTCATAACGCTACGAACTTCCCTCGGCTGTATTTATTAACTTAATTGTAGGTTATATGGACGAAAACACCCTTAAATAGTTTTTCTTATGTTGTAATAAAAAAACATTACGAGAATATAATTAATTGTAGAGTATTACTGTTAAGTTGTACCTTGTACAATAATGCATTTAACGTATCCATTGGCCCCGTTTGGGAGTGATTATTTTTAAACACTTGTTTTAAGCTGGAACCACAAAAAAAGTCCAATAGGTGCTTATTCCAGAAAATAAGCACATTTTTAATAAATTAAAATTTTGGGCTTATTTTTAAGCTTTTTTTTTTTTTGAATGTTTATTGCATTTTTGGCCCATCTTGGTCGGTTGGTCCAATATATTATTTTCAAAATACCTACCCAAAAAAGCGCTTTTAAGCACTCCCAAACGATTTTACATTGAGTTATCAGGAATTCAGGACAACTTTTATTTATAGCAGTATGGCACTCACTGGACCCACTTAAAATGATACAACGTTCTAAATGCAATGTGCATCCCTAGTTTTTGTTTTTGTTAGGATAAAAAATATATATATGGTGCAGTAGCACAACCAACAAAATAAGCATGATAATAATAGGAAAGAGAAGAAAATATGAAATCACCTCCTTCCCAGTGAAAAGACAAGTGAACCACTATTGATTATGATAGGAATCAAGATATGAGAGTGTAATGAACAATGATTACGATCTGTGTTCAAAGGATTAAGACCTCTCACCCTTTTGGGAATCAGGAAAGGGCATATAACAAATCTAATCATGATTAAGCTTTTGGCCACTGTGTATATTTGCTTTTAGCCCATTCTTCGTTCGGTTGCCGTGCAAATATTGATATGCTTAGTTTTTGCTTTGTTTGTAATTCTGATTTGCATTTTTATCAGGTACAAAATTGGTACCATCTTACTTCTACCTCAATTCTTTATCACATTTCCTCAAAAAAAAAAATCTTTATCATATAAAGTTGGGATAAACATTATGTAAAAATAAACTAGAATCTATACTCAGCCTTTACTCCCATGCATAAACCGGTGCAAATGAAATTTGTACTGCAACCAAACACAGCTTGGGCTCTTTTGTTACGTATCTCTTCTCGTTGCCGAGCTATGGTGAAAACACCGCTCGAAGGGGAAGATGTCGTAGCCCAAAAGAGAACTAAACTCAAAGAAATTTGGATTCAAGATGGTATCCTTTATTTCAAATGTCTCTATTTAAAGCCCGCAGGTGGTTACAGAGGTTGACACGTCAGCACAAATCATAACAGAATGAATGGGTCCTGATCGCCCATGATTGAAGTGGTTGTCCGGAAGTCAGGTGCTAACGGTTGGAATATTCCCCTGCTTCAGGCGGTTACGTGACATTCCCCCGTCCTTGACCACGGGCTCGTCCTCGAGACCGAAGTCTTGAAACTGCTGCTGAAGCTGGGGCAAAGGTTCCCAGGTCGCGTCTTCCTTACACATGCCCTCCCACTGAATCAGAGCCTCTGTGACTGCTCGATTCCCACAAAATCTTACAGGGTTGAGGAAGGAAGGTTCCGTCAACAGCCACTGGTGGAAGAGTTGCTTGGCTTCAGATGGGGGCACCCATCGCTTTCTTAAGCCACGAAACATGCACTACAGGGCAAATCTTGCATCCGTCTGGTAACTCCAACTGGTACGCAACCGACCCGACCCAATCCAATCCAAGATTTTAAAGGGCCCGTAGAAGCTGATTTCTGGGATCGTCGGGTAGCAACAGTCATCGGTCGGTATGGCTGCAATCGAAGGAAGATGAAGTCCCCTGTTTGAAACTCCCCCTCTGTCTGTTTCTGGTCGGCAAATTTCTTCATTCGTTCTCTAGCCCGATTCAAGTTTTCCTTCAAGAGTTGCAATGTCTTCTCTCTGGCTTTTAATTCCTCTTCAACACTCTTGACTAAGGTGGTTCCCGACATGTAAGACAAAAGGTTTGGAGGCGGGTAGCCGTAAACAATCTCAGAGGGAGTGGCCTTGGTGGTTGAATGTTGGGAGGGGTTGTAGCACCACTCTGCCAGCGGCAACCAGCGAGACCATTGCTAAGGTTGGTCCCCGGCGAAACACCGCAGGTAAGCTTCTAAAGTCTTGTTTACGATCTCGGTCTGCCCATCTGTTTGCGGGTGGTAGGAAGGGCTTAAATTAAGTTGGGTTCCTTGCAAACGGAAGAGTTCCTTCCAGAACAACCCTGTAAACACTGCATCACGATCACTGACGATGCTTTTCGGCATCCCATGTGATGGAGCGCAGTCCGGCCGGTCCTATCTGTCAACGATCTTGTCTCTGACTGGAGCAAAAGGTGCCTGAAACGGAGGAGAAAGCGAGTAGTCTCCGGGGAAGAACCCGGTGAGAGTGCTCCGAAGCTCAAGTTAGTATTTCCTCAAATGCAAGATAAAAAACCAGATGGTGCAAAGTTATCACATACATCCTTCTTGGGGGGGAAGGGAGCCTTTTATAACCACTTCGCGCACTCACTCCCAAGCTCCTGTCGGGTCGGGTATCATTACCTCTGCACTCCTGCCAGTTCGGGTGTCATCACCTCTGCCGGGGCAGACAACCGCCACTGCTCTCTTTGTCGGAGCCGTCTCTGTGACTGGAGGTGGCGGTGGTAGGTGGCTGTTGAAGTGCGGCTGTCAAGTGTCAGATCCTAAGTCAATCAGGTGTGCCGCCTCAGGATACGGACTCTTTTGGTGTCAGGTCAGGTACGGTTGTTTAGTTCGGCGTCCTGGAGGCGAAGTGCTAGAGTGGTGTGCGAGGTGAAGTCTTGAGTTCGGATAGAGGTGTGGCCCGAACTTCCCTGGGGCGGGCCAGTTTGGGTTGTTGCCCTTTACACTCCTCGTAAGGCTCGGGGTCAAAGGGAGAGTTCGGGCTCCTTTTGGGGAGCTCGAACCGCTGGTTCCTCCTTTCGGAGCTCGCGCCTTGGGCGTACTGACGTGCCGAGCTGTTGCTACTGCCACATGTTGAGTGGTAACGAGGTCGGGTCAAATCTTCCTTCATCACTATGAAGTCGAAATATCTCTGCCATGAATACTTGAGCCACGTCCCAGGCAATGTATGGGTGTTGTAATGCTAAGAAGTGGCTATATTTGGACAGATGGTCAACCACTACCATGATCACTGTCCAAATTTGTTCTGAAATCGGTAACCGTTGCAGAAGACCGGGCAGCGGCAAATTTTCTATCTTGTTCCTTTGGCAAACTTCATAGTGCTTGATCCATTCTCTAACTTGCTTTTTGCACCCCTGCTAATAGCAAACCTGTTTAATCCTATGCATTGTCTTGTGGTATCTGAAGAATATTATGTACAGTTGTAATAGTCAGTTAGTTGTTGTTTCAGTTTGTACAGTGCCAATCAGATATTAGAGGTAGTTACGGTGGTTAGTCCTAGTCAGCACTTTCTTGTTAGTTAGTCGGTTATCCTGCATCTATTTATAGTTGTACTGTGGAGCTAATTAAAAAAAAAACACACACACACATCCTGCATCCGTGTTTGCTTTGATCTTGTTGTTGAATATTTTCTTCTGTTTCTGATCATAGTATCAGAGCTGCGGTTCTGAATCTTGTGCGCTATGCTGGAGTAATCTGTATTTGAAGTTTTTTCTTGCTTCGAGAGTATTATCTCTGAGAAGATGACTGACAGAAGCGTGAGTGCAGGAGATGGAAACCAGGCTTCGAGCAATCATTCGGTGAAGACGTCAATGCAATTGCACTCGTCCGATCATCCTGGTATAAGTCTCGTAACTAATCCACTTAACATGAACAATTACATGATTTGGAGTAGGTCTATGAGAATTGCTTTAAAGGCCAAGAACAAATTAGGCTTTATAGACGGTACTTGCGAGGAACCTGATCCTACATCGGCTGAATATGAAGAATGGAGTCATGTAGATTCCATAATGATTTCATGAATATTGAACTCGATATCAAAGGAGATGACAGAGGCATTTGTGTATACTCCTACTGCTAGGGCATTATGGTTGGAATTAGAAGAGAAATTTGGCCAAAGTAATGGACCGCAATTGTATCAACTCAGGAGACAAATAGTTTCAACAGAGCAAGGTAACAATACTATTGCTATGTATTCGAACAATTTAAAAAAAAAAAACTATGGGATGAACTCAATTGTTTGGAACTAGTTCCGAAATGCAGTTGCAATTGTACATGTTCTGCCTCAAAGAAAATGGAAGAAATCAACTCCTCCAACAGAGTTATGCAATTCTTAAATGGGATTAAATGATTCGTTTGACAATGTAAGGAATCAGATATTGGTAATGGATCCTTTACCGAGTATAAACAAGGTGTATGCTATGGTAATGAGAGTGGAAAAACAACGGCAAGTTCATATTAACTTTGGTGAGTCTGTTGAAAGTAGTGTTTTATTAGCAAAATCTGCAGGACAATCTGCAAATACTTACAGTCAGGCAGGCAAAGAAAGATGGAAAGAACAAGGGAGACAGATTTTGTACTTATTGTAACACTCCCGGTCATCTTGTGGAAACTTGTTTCAAGAAAAATGGCTATCCAAAATGATTTAAAGATTTAAAGAAGCAGAAGCAGCAGAAATCTGAGAAGACTTTTGCCAATATGGCTAATTCGCCACTTGAGGCAAGCAGACACCAAATTAACTCGCTGAACATGGATACTCTGAGTTCATCTTTAGCAGAAATCATACAACAAGAGTTGAGGAAGCCTGTGAAGAATACACAGCAGGTGGGGAGAACAGAGTTAATGCAACACAATTTGGAGATTCTACTGAAGATTTTGCAGGTACAATTTATTCTTCTGGTTCTAGTAAGTTACATTATACAGTTCATGGTTCTTGGATAATAGATACAGGTGCTTTGAGTCATATGTGCGCAGATTTAACTCTCTTAACTCATAGCCATACTCCTCCTCATACCAGCATTGTTCACTTACCTTATGGGAATGTAAGGCAGGTCACACAAATTGGTGATGTTGTTTTACATCCC